ACAAAGCACATTTCAGGGCCGTTTAATTAGCATGCAAGCGTTGATATTATTTTAATTAAATGAGCACAATGCTGTCATTTCTTTCTTGGGGGCATGAAATGTACTTATTAATATGGCAGACGCTTCTTAATTATTTTTTTTTAGATTAAAGGGTACTAAAGACATCTTTAATGCTGCACAGCATTGAACGCGTATGAGAAATGCATAAACTTCAGTGCAAAGTCATTCTGTTCTACTGTCAGTTCGGTTTGTTGACCCTTTTTGCAGGAGCTGACAATCGCATACCATTCTCTCTACTGTCCCAGTACGGAGTGCCCGTGGCGCTGGGTTTTCTTTCTTGTTTTTTTTTACATTTTCTGTTGTTTGAAAGTGAGGTATTTCTTTTGCTGTTAGTGCTTTTATAAGTACTCTCTTCATTTCTTAGCCAGCTCATCGCAGCTCTTGGCAACGCCTCGCATTGCCTTTAGCCTTCCGCTTTCTGCCATCCATCAGACTGGTAGTAAGACGCATTAATTCATTTTAGTTAAACATTATTAAAAACTTTCCCCCCCACAAAGCTGGGGTAAAAAGTTCAGCCAGCGCACCTTGCCTTTGTGGTTGAGTGTGGTGCAAGTGTGTTGCGAGTGTGGTGCGAGTGTGGTGCAGTGGCGAGTGGCGTTGGTAAAAGTTGCACACTAATTAAGCGCTAATAACATTTTAGCACAGTTTGCCGAGAACTTTTTACCCGGGCATGCAAATGTGATCAACCGCACAAAAGGGCTAGCCAGTCCCGGCTTTGGCTCTGGAGCATACAAATCAGCATAGAAAATTAAGCTGGAGGGCTGGTCAGAGGGCGATGGCCAGGCTCCGCAATCAATTTCACACACAGACAAGTTAAAAACATTTTAATTTCCATTTGGCTAGAATACCAGGCTGGCCAAATTGCAGCGATTGCCATCAGATCCCAAGGCACTGGAATATTCTAGGCAAATTTTTAGGCAGCTGCCAACTGTCACACAGGTGGGCGGTCCACGGGACACGGGACAGGCTGTGCCCCCTGGCGATCTCTCTTTCTCTCTCTCTCTCTCTGGGTGAGCGATGGAGTGGATACCAGAGGTGGAAAGCTGAGAAATGCTGCTGCTGCCAGCTTGCAGTCAATTGGATCTGTGGAGCTGCCAGGAGCTGTGTGGATCTGTGTGTGTGCTGGTGTCACTGCACTTTACATGTGATGTGAGCAAATAGTATGTAGCAAGTCCCCAACTGGTCATGGGGTTAGTTTTCTTGTTTGCTACTCCTCGGGTAGCGCACAGCTTCTGTTGCAAGTTGCAAGTTGGTTGACTTCAGTGCCTTGAGTAATGTTGCTTTGCTGCATGTGATTTGCATTCGATGCTGCAAGCAGTGTAAGAGTTTGGGTTTAGGTTTGGGTTGATTTATGACCAAAGAAATTTCACTTGACATAATCTTGGGCAATTATCTTGAATATGGCACCCCAGTGACTTCTGACCGAACCGAATTGAATTCTAATTTTACAAGACGGCAACTGGAGTACAATTAAACTAAAAGTGGTGGGGTGGTAGGGGGGCTAACGAGGTCAGTTATTCCCCCTCTTTGACTCTGACTCTGACGGTGTCCTGTTCTGTGCTGCTTCGTCTGCTAAGGCAAATAAACGCTTATTTGCACACTAATTGCACCTGCGACGTGCTTTGTTATTATAAAATTCTATATTTACATAAGCGCCGGTCGTGCCTCGTCTTCAGCTCTTGTTTTCGTTTTCGCTATTGTCACAATATTTGTCTTTGTTAGTGCTGAAAGGCTTTTTTGGCTCTGCTCGGCTCCGCTCTCCTGCTGAATACATTTTTCAAAGTCTTCAAAGCCAACTTGGAGTATGATTAACCATGCAGATGCCGCTGCTGTTGCTACTACTGCTGCTGCTCCTGCTGTTCCTGCGGTTGCTGCGTGCTCGAAGCTTAATTATGCGCAAGGTTAGCCTGTCTTTGCTCCAGCCAGCCATGCCACATCACACCAGCCACTCGTACCCGTACTCGATGCCACGTGTGCATCCTTGACCCAGGATGCGTGCCGTGTGGGCGTGTGTGTGTGTGTGTGTGCAGCGGCAGTCGAAACAGTAGCTAAATTATGGTCATTAAAAAGCTTTCAGCTCGTGGACATACTCGTATCAAATGACATTAAAACATGTGTGGAAAATGCACGAATCCAAATTAGTTTGACCTCTGGCCTTAAGCGACTCCACATACTCGTATGTGACGCGGGCTGGTTTAGATGATTGATGCAGCTGCCGACTGACGGGGAAAGCCTTGACTTCTGACCTCCTTTCCGGTCTTGTGTCCGGGCACACTTTCCGGCGTTATCTACCCGGCAATTAGGAAAAGTTAGCTGCATTTGCATTCGAGCAGCTGCAAGAGTTAAACAGCTTCGGCCAAGTTGAGTTGCGTTAACCTTCGGGGACTTACGTATGTCCAAATGGAACGGAACGAAACGAAACGGGCAAAGGCGACTGGGAATCGAAATGTTTAAGACTTCTGTTACTGCTGCTGATGCTGATGCTGCTGCATTTCAAGTAGGTAAGCTAAGGATGAGAAGGCAGACGTGCAAAAGCGCAAAAGCCCCAACCCCCAACTGAACTCTGCGACTCCTTCTTGTCCGGCAAGCGGAGCAGGGCGGGGGCTTTTGTAATATGCGCTCCAGTCGCTGGAACTTTTGTCAACTTGAAATCAAAGGGGACGGCCCAGGAAGCTGCAAAAGTTTCGAGTTTTCTGCTAAAGTTACTAACAGAAACCATTAAAGGCTCACGTAGTCAAAGTCAAAAGACAAATTTGCATTGGTACATTTCCTCTTTTTCTCCATTTTCGCTTTGGTTCCATTATTTTTCGGCTTAAAGGTGTGCTTGGTGAAACACAGCATCCGCATGAAAATTCGCTTAAAGCATGCCGTGAATTTTTTCAGTTTATTCAGTTCTCAATTTTTTGTTAAAAAGATTTTCCATTTAACGGGTTTGTTTGTCGTGCATTCAGCCGAAATTGTTTGCACTTAGCTGCGTTTGCTTTGAGCGCACAATTAAAATGCAATTTGCAAAAGGAGATGGGGACACAAAGGCACAAACAATGAATCCCAAGCAAGCTAAGCCAAATGCAAAGTCCCTTCTCAGAAGAATTTTCGACACCTGCTTCAATGGGCATGAACAAATGATTCGCCTGGAAATCCCGTTGAGTACCCCGAACAAATGGCGCATTTAATGGGGATTTTGAATGCAGCTGAAATACTCCTCGTAGTACACCTCGAAATTCCCCAATTGTGTATAATTTCCAAAGCGCCCGCATAGCAGTTTCCCGTAATGACAAGCATCAGCAAAAGGCAGGATAATGGTCGACAATTGCCGAGTTGACGAGCACTCTGCTGCTGCCACTACTGCGGCTGCTATGTTTGGCAATGAGGTGCCAAATTTCCGCCCGGAGGGCTTGCTTTATTCCGTCACACTGGCGTGGTGTACGAGTGCGAGTAGATGAGGAAAACCAACAGGCCCCTTCTGACCCAAAAATCAATTAATTGCAAACAAATTTTTTTCTTTGCACTTCAAGAACTGGCGACAACAGCGGCATTTGTCATTTCACCAATCAATGTTGTTCTTTTATTTTAATTCAGCATATTCGTATGCTGCTGTTTTTTTTCTTTGTTTTGGCCAATTCTCGTACCGGGATGTTCCAATGTTTTTGTCACGTGCTGCAGCTGCTGCCAATGCTTCCAGCTTGGAGAATGTAAATTGAGTTGCAACATTTTTTTGTTTGTTTTTCAGCACGTGTGACTGCGACAATTGTTTATGATATGGCCGTGACCCAAAAAAAGCCTAACTACAGCAGATATTTTTTTAAATATTGCCACTGGAATTGATTGTTCGATATTTAATATTTATTATTAAATATAAATATAAATGGTGTTTTTTTTTAAAAAAGGAATATCTTAATAAGTAGTGTTAACAGACGGCAGCAATTATCGTTGGCCAACGAGGTGCATAAATGATGCAAACAAGGCTGAAACGGAATGAGCTGCCATTTTTGGCTCAACTATTTTGCTTTCTTTATGAAAGTAAACGGCTTTCCAATTGTCAAGAAATTGGTAGCAAATTAAATATGGTTTTTTATTAAAAGAATTTCTTTTCTGGTCTTTCACTGGTGCGATTTGTTCCTCAAAGCCTTTTTATGCATTGGTTAAAAATAGCTAACTCTAAGCTGACGAGTCGAATACTTAACGCAAGCATAATACTTGCACTGCTTGCCTCTGTAAAGCTTTTCTGCTGGCGACTGTTAAGCTCAAGCAGTTAACAGCAGCACGCACATAGCCTTGCTTTTCGGGGAAGATAAAAAATACTCTCATACCCGATCAATTAGTAAATGCATAAAATTCAGATCAAACTAGGATCCTAAAATAAAATCCCCCTCGAACTAGATATTTGTACCCACAAATTCACAAGCAATTTGCACTTTAAATTGAGAATTTAAATCTTTTTTTGTAACAGCTTGGCCACAGAAGTGTCGTGACTGCGGAAAACTGTTAATGTTTGTGGTAGGGAGTGCGAGTGTGAAGATACAATAGATAACGAAAATTAACCACAAATCTCGCAAATTAAATTTATCAACCGAAACATGCGATTATTTTGGTATCGGCTGAACGTCTAAATTTATCTTTATAATCGCCACATATTCCGCTTAATCAAACGATAAGCTTTATGCCGATCCATATCAGTTCTAATCACAGTCAAGGTTACTTCTTGCTTTTGCTCTTGCTATTGCTCTTCTTCTGGCTCTGGTACCCGCTGTGGCTTCATTGTGCGCCGTGCCTCAATTGAAGTTAACTTAATGTGGCAGCAATTCCGACACACGCGTTTCACCGATCCCAAGTTCCACAGCGGCTGAGCCGATCGGGAGCTGCGTCCGCATTAGCTTGGGACTGCTGGGACTGCTGGGACTGCTGCTGTTGCTGCTGAGTTCAGCTGCTGGCTGAGACATACTGGAACATTCAGTCCGCTGCGAACAACCGGCGACCACACACCTGCCCACGCCATCACCTCAGTGGCAAGCAGTCTAATTGATCAAAACGAAAGGAAGCAGTTTGAGAGCAGTTTGAAGACGCGTTTCAAAACTTTCTTTGGTGCGTTTCACTCTTTTTGCCAATAAAACCCCACAAAGTTTGTGCTTAAGTTAACTATTTTCAATTCTGTGTACGAATATGTGTGTGTGTGTGTTATGTGTGCTTTTTGAGCGTAATGTTTGCTCAACTGCCTTCGATGAAGTTGTAATTAAGACTTTGCTTTTTGCCGGCTGCCGGTTAAAATGCAGCTGTACCTGAAACTGTGCATCGACTCATATTCACAAGTGTTTTTTGGTTGGCATGACTTCATTTTGGCTGTGATGACTACACGGCCCGTAAATCCTGCTTGAAATCCATATATTTTGAGACAATAAAGTTTGCAAATTTATGGAAATTCGAGTATAGATTCGAGTGCACAACAGATAACTCAGACGGAAGTTCTTTGTAAAGCACTTCAATTAAAGAAAATTATAAATATTTTTTCACTCTATGATTTTAAGCAAACATTTTAAAGGAAATTGAAGAACTTTTACTCTTGGCTTTGTTTGTACTGTTTTCTTCACTCCTTTTCGGAGGTTGCCATTATTTAAAATACGATGTACATTTTTCAAGCACTTTGCATATTCCACTTGAGAAAATGTGTAATATTTTTCTCTTTGTGCAGCTACTTATCAGAGGCAAGATGTTTTATCAGAGTTGTCGAAAACAAATGCTCAGACGAAGGTGGAATTTATTACTTTTTCGTAAATGGCACTTCATAAAATAAAAATCTCAGGTGGTTTTTTCATGCTGTTCCAAAAACAAAAAATAACGCTGATAGCCGCCATATCGTAATAAAAGCACAAGTTTAAGTTATATACTCGTACTATATCGCTCTACGATTATGTACCTACTTTTATCAAATGGTTGCCTTCTAAACAAAGGATGCAATTATAAATGAATGAATCCAATCTGAATCTGAATCCGAATCCATTAAATAACAATTGACTGTTGGCCACATACAGTTTGGGACCCACTGAAATGTTTTATGTGGCTCGTTGATGGCTATCAGCCAGCTATGTAAATGTTAGATAGCGTGGAAAACTTTCGGGTGGAAGTTTTCTTTGGTTTGTTCAGTTTATGACCACCGAGTGCAATCAATTGTGCGGTAGTTGTCATAAAGCCATAACGATAAGCAGCACTCCAGTGGCTATATTTTTAGATATCCCGCACATGTCGCTGCATATAGTACACATGTACTTTCACTGATTGTAGAGAGAGTGAGAGAGAGAGAGAGAGAGAGAAATAAATGAATATCCAACACGTGCGTGCTGTGAAAATTGCCTCAATTTGAAATGACATTCAAAAAGCGGCTCTCGGGATTGCCAAAAATTCGTGCAATTTACAAATCAAAGCGAATCAACTCAGCCAGGTCGGTCTCTGGGCTCACTTGCCCCACAATTATTTGATTATGGCATCCATCCAGAATCTGTCTCTGTTTGTGTGTGTTCTGTATTAGATTTCGCGTGCCTAGGCAGATGCCATAATTTGCGAAACATTTGCTTAATAAGTTAAATGGATAATTGAGTTAAGATGCGTTCCCGTGGCGGATGCCACCAGCTCAATCTTTCTCTCAAAAATGCTCGCTCAAATCATCCATATACGGAGCATTATTTTTCCGCATTAGAATCCCACAAATTGCTTACGAAAATGTTTGCTCTTTGTTCACAGTGTCAATTGCAATTACGCGACCGACACGCTACAGAATCTTTGTACATTTGTATATTCGTGGCAGGGCGCCAACAAAACACTAAATTATAGCACGCTTTTTTTTGTGGATAGAGTGGGAGAGCATCATGATTATCATTGACTTGGATGGGAGTCGTTCCCGCCTAAATACGGGTTTAATGAATCGCCAGCACGCATACGAGTTGCCACCACAATAGCTACTGCGATATTGTATAAACAAAATAATTTGATTGCAGGTTTTGGTTAATCGAACGGCACGGCACAATGACTGACTTGGAGTCTACAAAAAATGGAAAACACCATGAACTGGTGCACCACAACAAGTACGTATCTGGCTGCTAGCTACATATTACCAATGCGAAATTCTTCCGCATTTCATAAAGGAGCCAAAGTAAATATAAGCCATGCATATATAGTAGTAGTAAAACTGGTAAAGTACAAAGACTTATCGGTGCCCTGCGACCGAATGAGCTGAGCCAAACCAGTCGGTATCACAGCGGCAGCTTGAAAACTGGTTCCGCCGCGGGCTAGCCACAAAACAAAAAATCGACCAAAACTCCCCAGCAGCAATGCAGCAATAATTCACTATTCGAAAGGGAAAGTAATGCCGCTGGCTACTCATTTGCATGGATGCCAAACAGCCAGACAGCCAGTCAGCTAGAGCTAGAGAATCCACAACGATTTCAGCCAAATTGTATATTTTTTCTTCGTACTTTTCAGCAATGATATCACGGAGAGCGAGCCCCTCACATGGCGCTTTTGGCGCAAGCAGCGCTACATTGTGGTGCTGTTGGCTTTCTTTGGCTTCTTCAATGTGTACTCGCTGCGGGTGAATCTCTCGGTGGCGATTGTGGCCATGACCGAGAACCGCACGGTTATCGATGGCGATGGGCATGTGTCATATGAGCAGGACTTTCCCTGGGACTCCAAACAGAAGGGTCTGATTCTCAGCTCGTTCTTCTACGGCTACATTCTGACGCAGTTCTTGGGCGGCTACATTGGCACCAAGATTGGTGGCAACCTTGTGAGTATTTACTCATATCCCTACCCTTAATTCCAAGCTAATAATGATGACGCTTGACTTGTGCAGGTCTTTGGCACTGGCATTGGCAGTACTGCGATCCTGACACTGCTCACGCCGCTGGCTGCTAAGCACAGTTTGGAAATGTTCCTGGCCGTGCGCATCATCGAGGGCTTCTTTGAGGGCGTCACCTTCCCGGGCATCCATGCCGTGTGGGCCCGCTGGTCGCCGCCCCTGGAGCGTTCACGCATGGCCTCCATTGCCTTTGCAGGTAACTATGCGGGCACTGTGGTAGCGATGCCCTGTTCAGGGTACCTGGCCACTCATTGTGGCTGGGAGAGCGTCTTCTATGTGTTCGGAACCATCGGCTGCATCTGGTACCTGGTCTGGCTGCTGTTCGTGCGCGCTGGACCGGAGTTGGATCGTTTCTGTTCGAAGGAGGAGTGCGACTATATCCAGAAGAGCATTGGCTATTCAGGCAGCAAAAACATCAAGCATCCATGGAAGGCGATCTTCACTTCGATGCCGTTCTATGCCATCATGGCATCGCACTTCTCGGAGAACTGGGGCTTCTACACGCTGCTCACCCAATTGCCCAGCTTCCTCAGGGGTGAGTTTTTACGAGCATCCCTCACATTGACTGCTAATGATGTTATGTGATAATCCTCTCCAGATACGCTCAACTTTGACCTGGGCAAGACGGGCATTCTCTCGGCTGTTCCATATCTGGCCATGGGCATTCTGCTTGCCGTTTCCGGCTACCTGGCCGATTGGCTGCAGGTGAAGGGCTATTGGACGACCACTCAGGTGCGCCGCAACTTCAATTGTGGCGCATTCCTGGCTCAGACGGTGTTCATGATGCTCACTGCATATCTCCTGGATCCCACATGGTCGGTGGTGAGTCTCACCATAGCCGTGGGATTGGGTGCCTTTGCTTGGTCCGGCTTTGCGTAAGTATTTTCACGAGAATCCCATTTAGCATTGTTGCTAATTCGGTTTTTCCCCCAAAGGGTCAATCATTTGGACATTGCTCCGCAGCATGCCAGCGTCTTGATGGGCATTGGCAACACATTCGCAACCATTCCGGGAATTGTCAGTCCGCTGCTGACAGGCTACGTGGTTGTCGATCAGACCAGCGAGGAGTGGCGCATAATTTTCTTCATTTCGGCGGGTATATATCTGGTCGGTTGTGTCATCTACTGGTTCTACTGCTCCGGCGAGCTGCAGGAGTGGGCCAAGACGCCCGAGCAGAAGGCCCAGGAGGCCGAGGAGAAGGCACAGCTGCAACTAACACAGACCGGAGGGTTTGTCAATGCGGCAGCCGAGCTAAAGGACTAGTCCGCCCGGCTCCATGTGTACCACTGAGTGAATGCCTTCAGTTTTGGCATCTATCCCACGCATTTCGAGAGCACCACATGAAGAATTTGTTCCCCAAGTATTTGTTCTTTGTTACGTTTGTGTGATGCTAGCAATATGCGCCCCATTGTGTCTATATTTATGTATGTTAATCTATTTAGTGTATCAGAGCACTCGCTGTGAGAGTGTCTGTGAATAAACGAAGCATTTTATTACAAGCATTTGCCGCGAATTCTGTCCGCCCTTGAGTGGGCTACACAAAAACCCATGTTAGATGTGTGTTCCCAAAGCCATCCCAGAAGTATGCCGAAAATTAAAATTACTCGTAACATATAACATACGGTGCTAAGCCTTCGTTCTGGTCTTTGAGTGGCACTTTGGTTACGCTCTTCATTTATTCATTAGATGTGTCAGAGTGGCTAGAGTGGCTTTTGGTTATGCTCAACTTGCTTAGAGCATTCCGAAACAGAAATATAAGAAATCAACAATTAAATATTATTTGCAGGTGCCAAAGCTTGCTCATAAACTTGTAAAGTTTCGTTGAAATATTTTATGTGTTATATAACCTTATTACTCCCTGCAGCAAGAATATATTTTCAAGGGAGGTATAAACCTAAAATATAGAGAATAAAGAGGCCTTATAATTCATAATTTTGTACTGGAAATGTTTTACTCTGTCCATGGCAAACTTTAAAGAGATCACGATAACCTGATGAGCATCGAGATTGATATGTTGAAGTACCAGGTGTTACATACAAAGAACAAGCTATCGATGAGTATCGATAGTTGGATTGATGAGTATCGAAGTTGGATGACGATAGGCCACCTTAAGTTTGATCTCTCTCTTCACTCTGACTCTGAACTGGCGCATGCAAGCCGCGGCTATATCGAGAACATTAAAGAACATTTAAGAATTACACAAACCGCTAATTATTACTCAGAATATTACATAAACCAACAGGTTATGGGCCCAGTCACCAAGTTTTTTTTTTAATCGCGTTTAAACTAAATTCCTAATATCAAAAACTACGAAAAGCTGGTATGTGTGAGGATATTTTGAGACGCCTGAGTCACGTATGCAACTATGCATAGTGGCATACACGAACGCATTCTGGAGATGGCGGCCGGCTGGAACCTAAGTAAACTCAATTGGGAGTAATACAATAACCGATTTGTAAAAACCTGACAACGCTTGCCCAAAAATTGTATGTACATATATGTGCACACGCAGAAATTTCCAGAACCGCATTTTTTCAAAACTTGTGTGTGGGACGACGACGCCTGCTGTATGCATTAGCGTGTGTACATACTCAAAGATCTTGTATGTGTATAGTTTTGCAGAGATCGGACGACGTGTGTGTGTGTAGTTGTGCGAAGCCAAACTGAATAATAAAACAAAATGGTAAAATAAAAGGAACATAAAACTTTTGACGGTAAAAACTATTCGATCTGGAAGTTTAGAATAAGAGCGCTCTTGTCCGAATGATGTCCTAGGTAATCGACCGCGAAATACCAGATGGAACTGATAGTGGCAAAGGCGGGTGCGAAGTTTAATTATCGAATATTTAGGAGATTCATTTCTCAGTTTTGTAACCAAAGGGTGTACCGCGAGGAAATTCTCAAAAATTTGGACAATATATATGGCGCAAAAGTTTAGCGTCTCAACTTTCGATTAGGAAGCAACTATTGTCGTTAAAATTAAAATCCGATTCATCGCTCAAGAATATTTCCAAATTTTTGTGACTTAGTAACCGAACTAATGTCTTCGGGTGGAAAAATCGAAGAGATGACAGGGTGTCTCATTTGTAATGACACTTCCCTCTTGCTATGATGGCATTATAACTGCGATAGAACTTTATCAGAAGAAAACTTAACCTTAGCGTTCGTGAAAAATAGGCTGTTAGATCGGAAATAAAATTAAAAGGTTTAACAAAGAAACCAGTTTCAAAGCTTACAAGCAGTTCGAAATGATGGATATAAGGAAAATAAATTTAATACAAATAATAACTTCAAAATAAAAACAATTTTAGAACAAAATGAATAAAAGGAAATATGAATGCATCTTTAAAATGGGAATATTAAAAAGGACTGTTTTAGTTTCAAAAGGGGGCAAAGAATTATAATAATAATAATTACACAAATAATATAAATGAAAATGGAAGCAGCTCACACGGCCAATGCACACCACCCAGATAATTTTTATGTAGGGTGTCAATGTACCGAACAGAAATGTGAACTCCATTTCGTTTATCTTGATGGGCTCTGACCATATGGTAAATCAAAAAGTCTGTTGTAAACTGCAAGATTTGGAGCGGCCATTGAGATCGCAATTGCCAAATGGGCGGTACATACAGGACAGCCAAAGGTACTATGGAGTACAGGTGACCAAAATAAAATACCTGGAACGTATGTTGGCATTCTGAATTTTTTGGTTAAGAATGAAGATGTGGTATGGAGTGGTTTGGAGGGGTGTGACGTTATAGGAGGAAATTATTTTTAAAGTGTATTTTTATGTGTTGTTATGAATTTGAACTAGCCATGGTATATAACTAATAAATAATTTAATATGTATCAATTGTGGCATGGCGAATGGGCATATTAGCAGGGAAAATTAATGGTTAAGGAAATAGTGGTTAAATTTGTTAATAACATTGATTTGGTAATGTATATGGTGGTATGGAAAGAAGCCAGATTCATTTTCAAGTTTAAAATAAGGTATATTAAAAGGCCTTTATTTATAATACACTCAGATGTTGTGGGTTCACCCCTACATAGTGGCAAAATTATATGTGTTTTTGTTGATGTCACTCATTACTGGTTATTTATTAACATATAAATCTGATGTGTTTCTTTTCAGATTTTGTTGAGGTGGTATTCAATTAAAGTTAATTGTATGTGACACGGGAGGATATTATCAATGAGATGGAAATTATTGGTTAGGGTTAGTTATCACTTAAAGTTCCACATCACCACAATTAAATGGGTATGACGAATGATGAACAATTACTGGCTGAGCCATGATAATGGGCAAAGTTGGAAACGGTTTTGGGGGGGTATTAAAGCTTTATGTAACAGGTCAACCAACGTTATATGATAAAGGCCATGAATGTGGTGTAGGAGTTTGTTAAGGTGTTGGTTTATTGTGATGTGATAACAAAACAAGAAAGGAATTTGATGAAACATTTAGGGTATTTGTTGGTTAGTACCTATGGTTTAAAGTTATGGGTATGGGCAAAGAATTTGTTGTGCTGGATGGATCGTAGAGATTAGTACAAACTATGGTGATTTTGTAATTGGATCCTAATGGTGTTCAGGTCCCAATGAGTAGGTGTATGTTGCCCATGGTATGGGGTATAATGTTGATCCAGAATGAGTATGGTGGTTGTTGCCGAATGGAGTGGGGTTCAAGTTAGATCCAATGCAGTATGGTGGTATTGTCAGTGGGGGGGTTCAATGTTACCAGAATGCAGTATGGATGGTATGTTGCCAGTGGGTGGGTTTAGACAGAATGGTATGGTGGTATTGTTGCCGGTTGGGGTTGTTGTGGTGGGTTTTTCAATAAGTGATGATTGGGACAATAGTTAAGAGATTGTGACGGGTAACACAATACCTTTGATTATGATGAAGTTTGACGTGCTGATACTAGTTTGTTTAATTTGTCATTGTCAAATCAGTTTGATTTAAAAGTACATCATATGGTGTGAAATGTTTTGAGGAGGAGGGATATATTGTGGTCAAGGTTGGGTAGAGTTGATTACAAATCAATTTGGTGCAGAGTAGGTGGTATGGTGTAAGTTGGATTTGTTAGTTTGAGATTTATTTATTTTCGTAAAGAAATTTACATGGATGTTGCAACCCAGTTGTACTCCACTAACGTAACTCTTATGGCTTAATTCAGATGGTTATAATGCTCCTTGTGGTGTAATTGGTGTTTAATGTCTAATGTTATGTACTCGCCCGTGGCACGCTGTTGGTTTTGTGTTCCGTATAATAGTTTGGTGCCTAAGGTTTTGTTTTGGGCTTAGTTTTTGTGTTTCATGTATTTTGTGGTCGTTGTTGTGGGTGGTGTGTGGGTAACGGGTTTTTTTTGTTTGGTATCCTTATTTGTGGTAGGTTGTTGGCATTGGGTGGTTGTTTTTGGGTGGGGTTGTGGTTGTTTGTAAAAGGTTGATTGTTTAATGACCTATAAATGTTTTTGGCATAGGTTGTTGTTGTTAATCCCACATGCCACAGACAAACTATTGTTTATATACTTGGGTGCGTTTTGTTTGTTTTTCCACAGATACAACTGGGGTTTTTGACGGCATTGTGGCGGCCCGGGCAATGGGGCTAATGGTGTTTCTTTTGCACTCTGTGTTTTTTTTTTTTTTTTTTTTTTGTGGTTGTTTTTGTTTTTTTTTGTATTGGTGTGGTTCTGGGTCCTGAAGTTGTGTGTTGTCTCCCAATGGGTGCGTATTTTGTTTTTCTTCATTGTTTTTTGTAGTTCTTTTGGGGGTGGTTGGTACCAGGGTCATCAAGGCGCTCGTGTGTATCGTAGTTGGAATTGACGTGGCCACCTTAGTTTGTTTTCGCTGCGGCGGGCCGCTAGGTAGACTTGTTCACCGTAATTTTACTCAGATTTATCCAACATTTGTAATATCTTAGTGATGGCAGGAGGGTGGAACAACTTTTAGATGCACTCCCCCCAAGAGCACTCAGAGTGAAAAGTCGTCGGGTGGTCGTTATAAAACTTCAGTGCATATTTTCCTTGTATTCCCAATGGGAGTTGGTGTGTAAGTTATTCTAGCATACATGCTAAACGCCATGAGAGCCGTATGGAAAGTCGGTTGAAGACCGATCTCCATCAAGGTGCGGTAACAGCAGCCGTATCAGCAAGCAGTAATAGTGAGATGTTATACAGAGCGCAAGCAGTAATAGTGAGAAGTTATACAGAGCGGTTACATGTTAACAGCATATTAACATGTTAATATGCGCGAAACCTGCTGTTGCTCTGAACACATCGTTTCTTTTTGAAGTACACTCATATTCTCTTCCCATATTTCTGCATCTTCGTTTTGTATGCAGCTACATGTAAGAAGGAGGGGGAACCTTGCATACATTGAAAGGAGCATCAGTTAACGACGGAACAGCAGAACAACAGTAGACAAGCAGTCCAGCAGAGAAGCAGTAACAGCAGCAACGACAGAACAAGAGGAACAATAGTCGGCCGAAGAGGAAATCTGCTTGGATCGAGCCGTTTCATTATTCGTTAATTTAAGTTATTTAAGTTAATTATTCGTATGCTTTGACAGTTTACCGCTATTTAATATAATTAATAAACATTCAATGAAACAATATCTCACATCCATAATATGTTTCTAGAATAATCTTGTGACTTAATAGCAGCTTATTTCGATGTGTGCTTTTGGGCTGACGCATCATCTACGACGTATACGTGCTTCGCTGATAAGCTGATAAGACAATCAAGAGCGAGTGCGTGCGCAAAAAATTAGTTGGCCCATAGCTCGATATAATATGTACAGAGAACCGTGTGCTGGGGGTCTGCACACGAACTGATAAGGCGGGTCGGAAAAACAATTTCGTATTGGCTCTGTGCAATTTTGCACTCGGACTGGAGGTCCGAATCGTTATAAATAGGATGAGATCGGGTGAGATGGGTCATCAGTTGAGAAACTAACCAGCAAAAGTAAAGTTGTGTGTACCTTTTCTTATACCAAGTAAAATTCAAAGATATCCTCAAAATGGTGTGCAAGGGATGCGGAACCAGTAAGTGATATAGAATAAATATTTAATTAATAACAATTAACACCCCTTTTAAACTGTTAGACTGCCAGTGCTCGGCCCAGAGATGCGGAGACAACTGTGCCTGCAACAAGGACTGCAACTGTGTCTGCAAGACCGGACCCAAGGCCCAATGCTGCAGCAACAAATGAATCAATTGTAACTTGAGCTTAACTTTCTCCTAGTTGGAAATAATAAAGTTTATGGTATAACCATTTTGTGCATTTAAAAGTTTGGGTATTTCATTTTGCATTTGACAGATAATTTTCACGCGCTGCTGGTCAACGAAAATGGAATTATGCCAAAATAATATTCGTGGTGTGCAATTTCAGGTAAACAAACCGCAAAATAGAATTACAGGCAAAATAAACATGCCAAACGCATTGCGACAATTTGGCTGAAATTGCAAATATTTGGGCACACCCCCTGAAAATCCATCCATCAATTACAATTTTCCAACCAATTTGGATCGAATTCGAAATGAATATTTGCATCGAAACTTTGTTCAAGTGTTGTTTAAACTGCAGATAAATCCAAATAAAATTCACTCTCTCTGGCCTATCATGGCTCATACACTGTACAACAATATTTCTGGCTTTAATTTCGTGCTGGAGTCAGTTTCTAAGTGCCAGTCAAATGCGTTTTATAGTCAGCCAAATAACTCATTTTGTTTAGGCCATAAAATGTATATTTTTTGCTATTCGTAGCAAATTCTCAAAGCCGTAGATGAATAAGAATTATTTTGACAATTTTGTTGCTTTCCGAAAAATATACAATCCAGCAGAGAACGAATTTCTCCATCGTTAGCATTTCTTTTATGACTTGCCATCGGAGTTTATGTGTGTGTTTTACTCCAGTCAAATAATAATTTTCCTATTCGCATTTATTTATTTTGACAGCTGGGCGCAGTCACTGTCACCCAGTCCTGGACATTTTTGAGCAGAAATCTGTTTTAGAGAGTGCCTGTAGAGCTTGCCTGGTATATCGGTTTTCAGAGTCAAAGAACCAAATGACCAATTAAAATGGAAGCACTTGTGGCTCTCTGCCGGGCAATTTGGGCCTTCCGCATCCGGTGCTCGGGCTGTCAAAATATTTATGCAACAACAATGGCCGAGTCATTAGCATAATCAAATGTGCGTGATTGAGGCGTTTCTCTTTTGCTCTCGTTGCGTGCCAGATTCATTTTGTTTCGTTTTGCTTTACCATCGATGGTGCGGGCAGGGCTGGGCTCGGCCGGGCAGGAAGTTAGTCGCAGTTTTCTGCCTAATCAGGTGTGAATAATGTGACACTTAAACGCTTAGTCACTGTCCTCATACTATGCTTTGACCAGAACGTCAGACGTACGAAGTCACCTTAAAAATTTTCCTTAGTCCAAAGAAACCGTAACGTAAACACAGCATGGCGTCTACCCAAGATTTGGAAGCATTCGAGGCGGGGGGCAAAGGTCTCCAGGGTGAGTGTGGATTCCCTTAAAGGTGTATGCTTGTTCCTACAGCTGTTCCTTTTCAGATGGCGAGCAGCAGCCCAGAGCCTACCGCATAGTGATGAGTGTACTCATGCTGATTCTGTTCAATATGACCCTTATTGCGGTCATCATTGGCTTCTATATGTATATCCAAAGCAGCTCTGAAAAGGACAGCCAGAGCGTAATGAATGGGGTCTACTGTGTGTTAGCAATCGCTCTCTTCGTGGGTCTGTATCAGATGGGCGTAAGTAGAGAATTCTTGCCAATATATTTCTGCGTTACCACTGACTACGGGCTATGTCCAACAGGACATGTCCAAGGACAACCCCCATTTCTATTACATTTAGGCCGGGGACGAGGCTGATGTCGTGGCCGTTGCCGTGGCACGTTCCTTTTGCACAATCAACTCTATAAACCGTTTCCATCTACCGCTATGGGCACTCACCGTCACCCTCACCGTCACCAGCACCCTGGCCCTAAACTAATTTAATTATAGCTTTCTTTTGTGCGGCCGCGGCATGAATTGTATTGCATTAAGTGGCAGTGACACGCAAGTCCTCGCACACGGCATGCCAAATTCATAATTGATAAGTGCAAGGAAGAACCTACTCGAATTACCGAACATTCATTCAAATATATTTCTCAGCTGACGTCAACTCAGGATGCCACACACATTTTTGTCATTCCCAACTCTACACTTATAAAATACAGAAACACATTCAAACCCCAACTGGAAACGCGTACATTAGTTTTTTTTCTTTCCCTTTTTTTAGTGATTTAGTTTGTTTCATAAATCAAAAATTGTTAAATCGTGTTAGTACTTTTTTTTTCTTTGTATAAATTTTCTCGATAAATCGAAATTGTATTAGTCATAGTGAATACTTCTTTGTTTATTCAACACGCTCACGATGTCGGCGAGGCGTACTGTTTTGTTAAGCTACAATAAGCGTAATGTGGCACGCTGGTATTTCGGAGGTGTGGCCAGCTCGATGGCCGCTATGGTCACGCATCCGCTCGACCTGATGAAGGTACTGATGCAGACTCAGGCAGAGAAGCTGTCCGTGGGGTCCACCTTCAAGAAGATAGTGCGCGAGCAGGGCGTGCTGGCCTTGTACAACGGCATCTCTGCCTCGCTGCTTCGCCAATACACCTACACCCTGGCGCGCTTCGGTATCTACCAAATGGGCAGCGGGATGATGGACACCAGCACAATGGCGCGAAAGACTTTTCTGGCAGCCGTCGCAGGTGGTATAGGTGGCTTCGTCGGAGCCCCTGCGGATCTGGTTAACGTTCGACTCCAGAACGATGTGAAGTTGCCGCCGGAGCAGAGACGCAAGTAAGACGAGTGTTTATAACCGATCCCAAGGGCTTAACACCGACACCCATCCCCTGCCATTGCAGCTACAAGCAGGCTATTGACGGCCTGATCCGCATCACTCGGGAGGAGGGATGGCGCAGCATGTTCAATGGCGCCAGCATGACGGCCCTGCGTGGCATGCTCATGACCGTGGGCCAAATCGCCTTCTATGAGCAGAGCAAGGATATACTGGTGGGAATGGGAATGCCGGCGAGCACAAGCACGTTCATTACGGCCTCCCTCATATCGGCAGCAGCTGCCACAACTCTCACCCAGCCCATTGATGTTGTGAAGACGCGTCGCATGAACGCCCGGCCCGGGGAGTACTCCGGTCTCGCTGACATCTTCGTGAAGACAACGCTGGAGGGTCCGATGGCCTTCTTCAAGGGCTACACTCCGGCCTTTGCCCGCCTCATGCCACACACGGTGCTGCTCTTCTTGACGCTCGAGTTCTTGCGCATAAATTTTGGCTATCTGCCCGAGCCGAAACCGTCTGCAACACCCTCCACACCTCCAGCCAAGTAAAATTGATAACTAATCATGTAATTTAATGATCGAAATTGTCCCGTGATTGTGTGAGTATTGTGCAAATAGGAATCAAATTTTCAGTGTAAACGAAATTATATATTTCGAATTTGTGCAATTTGCATTTTTTATTGGTGGAACTTTTTCGTTCCGTTTCGTTCTGTTTCGTTCTGTTTCGTTCTGTTTCGATTTTAGCCCATTCAGCAGGCGGCTTACCATTTTATTTTGCCTGCCATATTTCATGAATGCTTTATGAGGTGGCGGCCATTACACAGATGAATGTTTTAATGTGCTTTAAACCTAATGAATCTTTTCTGTGGCTATGGCAGCTCGCATTTGACCGAAGAAGTCATAATGCGAGCACTCAGCACCTGGCCGCAGTCGTATGTCGTATGTCTGATGTCGTGTAATCGCATTAAAGCCATTAACAGACTTGGTGGCAGGCAAGGGGGAAGCAGGAGAGAGAATGTGTGACCCAAAGAGCAACGGACAATATAGAGAGCCAAGTTTGGTTGACATGAAAAAACAATCATGCGACCCGTGTGCTAGTAGCCTTGATGGGAATGGCGACACACGGTCAGAATGTAATGGAATGATGTGGGTAGTTTTCTCCTTGAGTGTCCCGATGTCATTGCCTTTTACCGATGCCATTGTGAGCTGCCATTCAACTGTTTATCTGCCCATGCAATATTGATACCGCCCAACGAGTTTCCAATGTCCTAAACCGTGTTTAAGCTCAACAAAAAAAAAAAAAACAGAGGTAGTCTTCAGATCTTTTCATTCTCCTTTAAGCCATTTGGCCAAGGGCATTTGTGCTCCGAAGTTAATTAGATTTCATGCGCATTCAAAATTAATGAAACCCAAAAGGTTCTCAGAATCGACTCATTCATCTGAGTTGCCATGTAAATTATAATAAATAATTATGAAAAAGAATTTAATTTTACTGGGCAGTGAACATAAAGAGTTTATCCAATAAAGCTGATGCAGATGATGATGGGAAAAGTTAACTTAATTTGGCGCTGGAGTAAAAAGGATGTTGGAGCTGTAAGCCAATAATATTGATAATATTCATGGCTCTGAAGAAGTGACCGTCAATAAACGTTTCAATTAAATTTTATAATTATAATGGATATTCTGGGATATCTAAAGTTACTAAAAATTTCAAGTGTAGTGCCTCAAGTGCCTTTGTACTTACGAGCCCCAGATACTAAATTACCACACCGCATTCCAAATATATAATTTATAGCTATAAGCTATAGTGGCCAGAACGATATAAAGTGTGTGGGTAGAACCAATACATATGTGCAGTAATGTATGTTGTGACGATAGAAAGTATGAAGGTATGCAGGTGCAACACCAGATCAACGCGATAAAAAAGAGTGCGAATTATAACGATAAGCTCAAGACTAACTAAGGGCAGGCGGAGCGAATTACACGTGCCCTAATGCAAGAGAGAGAGAACGACAGAATGCGATAGAAGGAGAGCGTTGAAGGAGAGCAGCTCGGGCTGCTGCTAAGCCGAGTACGAGCTCGTACTGAACTATCGCTTATATCGCTATTGGCACAATAATTAATGGCTGTCATAACAGCCAAACAACAACTGATACCCAAACTTATACAAAAGTTGAGTCCTACAAAACTGGTTTATTAATTACTTTGTCTTATGCAAGAATCATGAACTGCTTACAGGCAGATTCGACAGCTTCAACAATTTCCACTTTATGCTGTTGAAAATGCGAGTGCTTCCGTCAGTTGAGTGGAAAACTTTATGACAATGCTTTGATGCCGCGGCTCAAGTACATAATAAAAGTGCCATTTGGTTGCGCAAAAATTTATGCAAATTTTTCATGTGCCGCCGCAGCATCAGGCAGCAAAGCATCAACGAGGCGCAGTGTAGAGCACGGCATTAGCAGCAAACATGGCTGAAACAACAACCAGGACTGGCAGTAACAACAACGGCAGGAATAACGACCACAACGACAAATGCATAAATCAGTTTTAATGCAAATTTCGTTACAGTGCGTGCTGCCGTCTCAATAAGCAGCCATTAATATGCTGCGCCTGCTGCATAAATTGTGCAATTTTTGCGGTTTTGCTTAATTATACGCATTGTTGCAAGGACATCGTCCAATCCTGTCCCTGCATAATTATTCATGCGATGGTCAAGGACAATCTGGCAGCCACAGCACGAGCAGTAGCACGAGCCCGAGCGGGAGCAGGAGCAGGACGAACAACAGCCAACGGCAGCTACCAGTTGCCGCACATTTGTGGGGCCACAGTTTGCGTCGGAGTTTGTGTTGAAATTACTACCATATTTATGACAGAATTGAGTTCACAGTGAGACAGCATAAGGCATTCGCAATTGTCGGCCATTTAAATGCGGACCAATAAATTCAAGCACACTTTTGAAGTGGCGCTTTGTCTTGGGGCGCTCATTTGGCCTCCCGACCCGATCCGACCCCCAGCCAATCCGAGCATTATCCGCTTTATGCACGGAAGTCCATTTATATTGCTGCCGTTTCAGAGTCCGGAGTACAGTGTCCGGCAGAGACACACAAATAAAGTAGCACACTGGAGCCACAATGGAGTTGGACTGTGCACGCAGAACGCTTAAATACCTTCGTGTCCGGCTCCATTTCCCTCCACCTACAGCGGGCCAAGGCGCAGCAGATGCCGGACTGCAATAAACTTCTAAATCAGTCGATTAAACTGCGATCTGCGAATGCCCCTAAAAGCACTCGCTATATACTCGTATACTTCCATGTACAAGGGTATGTGGTAGGGTATGTGTGTATAAAAAGTTTCTGAAAAATGTTGAGCAATTAAAGGAAGTAGCGCAAAGTAGCTCTGGGCATGGGGAGTTGCCGTTGTGTGGGGTCGGGACTGGTTTGTTATCTTTTGTGTGGATTTTGCTGTCAGCAAAGTATGCAGCGTGTCAAAGTGTTTAATGAAGTGAGAGATTCAGGTAGAGGTAGAAGGTATAAAGAACCACTATGTAATTTTATAATATGGGAAGGAATTTTTGCCTGCAGCTTAAATTTATATTTTAAGGTTATTATATTTATTAATATTTCAACGAAAAACATAATAATACGCATATAAAGAGCGCTATTTTAAGCAATTTTAGCTACATTTAACATATGTCAAAGTTTTGCCAGATGGAAAAATATATTCGGGCATACGGCATATTTAATGCGATTATAATCACTTCATCAACATACAGGAACAATCCATCGTTTCGGCTCACTAAATCAGTCTTTCTTCTACTTCGATTTGTACTTCCAGAAACATTAGAAGCATTGAAACATCTGGGTATCTGTGTAGCTTGGATTTACTGGCACATTTGTGTGCTGCTCACGCATAGCCAGTTTATCTTTATAATTAGATCTCATCGACTGTATCTGGCAGCTCGCACTCAGTTGTTTTTCGCCAAAGTAGTTTGGTATGGCAGCAGTCATTGTCATTGCCATTGCCGTGGGGTCATGCTGGCTGGCTAAACGTACTCGACACCGACACCGGGGAAATATAGGACAAAAACCATAACCGTAGCCAAACCCAGACCCAGACCCGTGCCTAGAACTAGAGCTAGAAACCAAACCGCGAATCGTGAAACTTGGCTCATTAAAGATTAAGACGCATTAACACAAATGGTGTGGGGGAGTCGGCAATTTAGGCACCATCAGCATAAATATTTATGTAAATTGGGATTACAAGTATTTTGTACGGTATTTTGTTTTAGATACTACACTCTAGAAACTTTTTGGCCATGTGACTGGGACAGGTTTTGCTTGACTGCAAATTTGTATTTAATTGGAATTTAAAACGCACATTTCGAGCACTTAAAGTTCTCTTAAATTTAAGTTCTCCAACCAAGTGACCTTGCAGGTTTACAGCATCTTTGAGCTTGCTCTTTTCCATTTTCCTTCTGTTTGAGTTGCAGCTGGTTTTTGTTTCGACATGGTATTTTACATTTTCCGCACTCAAGGTTGC